GACAGCAGCTCATTCTTGCAAGGAGAATGGCATTTATTTTAACAAGAGTGGAGCCTTATATACCAATGGCAGGCATGGTGGAAAACCACCAAGGTCAGAAGCTTACATTCCCAGGCCCCTCTGGCAAAAGGGTGGGCCAAAAACAGGAATTGTATTTAGACAATAAGGATGGACAGAAAACAGGAACTTGCATGCAGGCCTTACTGGAAGGAGGGGACGAGAAGTGTTTTGCTAGAAACTCCTAGTCACAAGCAGGTCAACAGACCCCCATGGGGGAAGGGTGCCACAATTTTGTTCATTGGTCATGTGTCACCCCCTAGATGCTGTTGCCTGCCCAGGCTCTGGGTCTTAGATAGAGAGAGCTTCCAAATACAAACAGAAATGACTGTCTTCAGTCTTATTCGGAGCAGTGATGCTGTCTTCATGGAGTCCAAACCTAGTCTGTCTGTGAGCCTAGGCTGGCACCTGATGCCAGGCAGACCCACCACTGTCCTTGTTTCTCTCCTGTGGATCCCTGTATTACAAAATGTCTCTTGGAGTCTCCTACTTTCTGCAAATTATGCTTTAGAATACACCGTGGGGACACTGTGTGAAGGTGTGTTGCTGTGATTGGTGTAATACAGAGCTGAATGGTCAATAGCTAGGCAGGAGGTATAGGTGGGACTTTCAGGGACAGAGAGGACTCTGGAAATAAGAAGGACAGAGATATCAGGGGGCATGGGAGAAGCAGAATGGACAGTATGTGACAAAATATAGACTAACAGAAATGGGTTACTTTAAGTTATAGGAGCTAGTTATAAACAAGCCTAAGCCGTAGGTCAAGTTTTCATAATTAATAAGAAGTCTCCGTGTCATTATTTGGAAGCTGGCTGGTGGAACAGGGAAGGACTTGGTATACAGACAGCCCTTCAGCCAGCCCCAGTTCAGCCTTCCCTCCCCGCTGTGCTGTCTCAGCAGAAGACTTTATTCTACCTGGTGTGTGTTCCCCTCAAACTGTGAGTCTTTTCTTTGACCGCAAATGAATGATTGGTCTCTAAGTGGGCCCGCTTTCCTTCTAGCTGAACTACTAGCCTTTCTCACTGTGTGACTTGCTAGCTGGATTCCCAAGGTTCCTGACTTTACTGCTCACAGACTCTAAAAGCCATGTGAGTGACAGTGGCTTCTAAAGGAATTTCTCAGTCTCTCCGCCTGCCGATCACCTACTGGAGTTGACCTTTGATTTTTGCACTGGGTCCTTCACAGGTGCCCCCTGAGGCTAAGGGACTTCTGGGAATATGATGTAGGACTGTAACACTTTTTGTTGGCTCCAAATGAGCAGCAGATTCATTGCCAACCACTGGCCCTGTGGATGGATTGAACCTTTACTCTCATCACCAGCCCGACTTGTACATCCTTTGGACCTTAGTCTTAGCATCTACCTGGTCATGTGGAAAAGCTTTTCAGAGCAACTACTTTGGGCCCTGTCTAGATCTTTGTTTTGATCCTTGAACTTGACATGTATTGAGTACCAGCTCTTCCTAAGATCTGTAAATTGTGAATAATACGGAGCTACTCTCATTCTCCTCCTACTGCGCCCAGCTGGCTGGCTCAACCCTTCTCCAGTCACTACCAGTGCACCAAATGCATAACAGGAAAGAGATGGCATATTCAGGTGGGTTATTCAAAGGGTGGGGTCTTAGGAAACTACAGGGCTAGAGGAAAAAAAAATCTGTGTCTGACAGCAACAGTTGTCATTCAGGGGCTACTAGATAAAGGGACAAGAAAAGAAGGCCATGGAGTTCTTCCAGCCTCTTCTAGGCCTCTTTGAGAAGTAATGATCCTTTGTGTGTCTGGAATGGCCTTTTAGGGGAACCCAGGGAAGCCAGTTACCTGCATCCCCCAGCTATCTCCTTCTCTGACCTCCTCTCAGAGCCACACGTTGGCTGGATCCAGATGGAAGCAAGGGCACCCGCAGTGTTGTTGATATAATCAGGTCAGCAAAGGGAAGCTATGTGTGCCACTCACGGGCCCCTGTAGTGTAAAGACAAACCTGTGGGTTTCTATTTGGGAAGCTAACCGAAAATTTATCAGGCGGCTTGTGTGTTGGCCTCACCCGGGTATTCTCCGCACCTACTAGATCTTAGCATTTTAGTCACGTGGACAGCAGCAGTTATTTCCTCTTCTGATGGTCTTCCTCTCAGCAATCATTAAGGTAGAACTATGATGACTGCATCTACTGGACCAAATGCTGGTGTTTTCCTCTTTTAAGATAGGATGATGTCCCTTCTGAACTGCCAGGCTCCAGTTCATGGAGCAGCAACCTCTTAGCCACTCTAAGTGGACTTGTAACCCCATCTGCTGAAAGCCTTCATTTCTCTCCTAGATCAGTTCTATTTGCTCAGGTTCCTTGAAGCCAGTGGTTAACAGAGATCAGAGCTGATTTTTCTCAAACCCTGAAGATGGGTTTGCTCTGGTGGCAGAATATTCAACCCTGGGTCTGTTTTTGTCCCCTTCTTCCTTAGCTCCAATGGGACCTCAGTCAGTTATGGGTATTTTCAGCTTCCTGAGCTTTATCTTTGTCAGTTCCTTCCACTGATAGCTTTAGCTTCTGGGATGAAAATAGCAAACTGCTTTCCTGCAGGCCTCCAAACTGGCCTTCCTATCTTGGATCCCTCAAATTGCTTTAGTAAGTTCATGGCCTGTTCTCTTGGACAGGGTGATTGATGTTCTACAGTGTCTCAAAGTGGTTTCTTCAAGTTTGGTTCAGCATGGCTGGGTTTCTCAGACATTTTCTGTGTGTCCATCTTCCTGTTCTGCCTTCTGCAGCAGGTTTGCAAAAGTCTGGCTTTCCTTTTCGTTTATCCACGCTCCATGCTCTTTCTCTATGTCCCACTGATCTTAAGCAATTTCTATGAACTTGTGTCAGCCAGATTGAAGTTGCCAACAAGGACATCAAAACCTAGCCTCCTTGGCCTACACAGACTCCCAGAGAGCTCGCCTGCCTAGCCCAGGTGTACTTAATAGCTGCCCTCCCTTCGTCAGTATTTTCTAAGCCTTTCCACATTTTTCCAGTACTCTGCTGTAGCCCACTCTCTGCAATCTACCAGTTTTTCCTGGTCTGTGCAGGGACTGGGGCAATGGCCTAGGAATTTTCCAGTTAGAAAGGCCAGTTAACGCTGACTCTTAACATTTCAGAGGTCATAATCACAGGAGGTCCATGAGACTGCCTGTACAACTTCTGAAATACAACCTCAGATCATGATGTGCCCACCCCAAAGCTAATTCCATATAAAGATGTGGATGCAGGTTATTTATTTGCGAGATAATGCCAGGAAATATGGTAGTGTGACTGAAAAGTGAGTCAGACAGCGTAGGTTACTACTGTGGATAACTAAGGTCTAATCCTGACAACCTTTGAGGGGACATCTCAGAATTGTCCCCCTTGGTGAGGAGGAAGTCAGGGTACTTGTCTGTCTCTGGTGGCAGATGGATCCTGGTGTGTGGGTTCTCTTGCGTTACTCAGAGCCATGCCCTCCGTCTGGGAAGAAGCAGCAGGCTTCAAAACCTGAGGTGAAGTTGACTTGTGAGTGGCATTTCCTTCTATGAACCACAAACATGTGTTTTCCAATGCTGTGCATGGCAAAAGCACCTAACAGGCTAATCTTTCCGAGTTTTGAAATGAAACGCTTTCTACACCAAGCCACGGCTGGTGGTCTACAAGGCAGGAAGAGAAGCAAGTTCCTGTCGCACATGAGAGTTTATAATCTCCACAGAGAACACTTGCTGAATCTTCAGTGTTGAGATTCAGGACCCAGAACCACGATGGCATTAATAGGAAGCTCAGGATTCTGCTTCCACTAAAGAGAAGCCCATCTCTCAATGTCCCGGGAAATGTCATTGGGCCTTTGGAAAGAAAAAAATTACAGATTTGCGTTTTCTGTGGAGAGAAATGCTGTTTGAGTGACACAAGCAGGGGGTACAGTTGTTACTCGCGCTTTCTGATTGTGCTGTGAATGGTAGAGACAACCCAGATCTCATGAATGATTTGCCTAACAGAAATAAAGGGAAGACGTTTCTAGATGAGTCGAGAAGGGGTGGGGGTGGAGGGCTGGATAGATAGCCATTAAGAGAACCTATTCTTGCAAAGGACCTAGGTTCAATTTCCTTTGCCTTTTAGAAGCTCCTCAGTTTCAGGAGGTACCATTTATTAATTGTTGTTCTCAGTATCTGTGATACTGGTGTTATGTTCAGTCAGTGGTCTCCTGTGCCAATGCTTTCAACGGTACCTCCCACTTTCTCTTCTAAGAGGTTCGGTGTGGCTGGATTTATGTTGAATCTTTGATCTATTTGGACCTTTGGAAAGATCCATTTGTGCATGGTGATAGACATGGATCTATCTGCAGTCTCCTACATATCAGCATCCAGTTATGCCATCACCCTTTGTTGAAGATGCTTTCTTCTTTTCCATTGTATGATTTTAGCTTCTTTGACAAAAATCAGGTGTTCATAGGTGTCTGGAACTAGGGGAACCAGACCCCCTGACAATGGGTGTCAGTTGTGGGGTTTGGGAAGTCTATGGGGCCACGGGCAATGGAAGCAGTATTTAACCCTAATGCATGAACTGGCTTTTTGGAGCCCATTCCCTATGGAGGGATACTCTCTCAGCCTAGATACAGGAGGAAGGGCCATAAGGGAGACAGAAGGGAAAGACAGTGTATCAGCAGCCACTCACAACCGTGGGGCATTCATTGTGCTTAATGCAGGCATTATAAATGAATTCTAAGTAAAATATCCACCAATGTCACCGCTCCACAGTAAAGTGGGTAAAACATCAAATATTCATTGAATTAGGCGTGAATGCTACTTTTTTTTCCTGAGGAAATGTATTTATCCCAGGCTGGACTTAAATTCCCTATGTCTGTGAGAACAACCTTGAACTTCCTCACTTCAAGGGTCTTTTATGACATTACAGTGCTAAGGAGAAATGGTATAGAAATGGTCATTTGATGATGCCACAAAACTGTTTTAAATTATAGTTTACATTTATTCTGTTCTTACTGTGTGTCCAGTGGTATGCGTGGGTCAGTCTATTTAATCTTCAAGAAGATTAATGCTGATGCTGTGTCCTTGGTTGGGTCTGGACTTTGCTCCACAGAGTAGGATGTCAGTAGTCTAGAAAGTAAGAAAAAATTACCATGAAATATTAGCCCATAGGTATATAAACTGAAGTACAAAGAGTCCAAGACCCTGCATAGGTCACGTATTAGTGCTGGAAGAGTGGATGACAGTCCCCTCCTTCTGAGGACAGTCTAGCCTGGACCTCTGACACTGCATCCTCCTGAACTTGGCAGTGCTAGATGAAGTTTTGAGAGCAGTTCTTTCTGGGAACTAATCCAGAAACTTATTTTCTGAAACACAGCCTTATTTTGTCTGTGACTGGCACTTACTGAGATACCTTGCTGTGGGCCTCTGGAAACTGGACCATCCCTGTCCAAGGTCATTTGTTTACATTCTTCTGATTGTGTGTGTATGGGGGGCTCATTTCCTCTCCCCAGGATGATAGGTGTCACTCTGTACTACCAGTCTTCCTCTATGAGGAATCTGAGGGAGGGGGAGCTGGGAAGAGTTCACATTACGTCGTATGCTACCTTGAAAGCTCTGCACCTTCATTTCTATGGTATCCTATGGGCTCTAGAGGCAGCCCTGTCCAGTATAAGAGAGTAGAACACAGGGCATGGGTGCCAGGAGGTGAAGGTGATTGTGTTTCCATGGAATGTTCTCTGTCCTCAGAGATTCCCTCCTTAACCGCAACAGAATTCGTTCATACACACCCCCACCCCCAATTGGTATGGAATAAGGATGCAGACACTTTTGAATTCTATATTGTAAAAAGGAACCTGCCCATGCAAGTTGCTAATGGCTTAGCAAGCATATGCTGTTAATGGATTGTTTGTTTTGAGTTAGCTTGCTAGCCCAGGTGCTACTCTGGAGGAGTTCACGGTTAATGCTGTCAGTTACAGACTCTCAAGATGTGCCTGAGTCCAGACATCAGTGAATGGGGAAGATAACAGAGGCAAGACATCACCAGTCTCAGAATGTGGCAAACCTTCTCTACTAAACCAGAGGGACCAAACTGAGATCTCCGTTGATGCCTTTGTCCTCTCCTGTGAGCCTCCTGGACAAAGGAGATCAAAGTTTTTCTAGGATGTTAACCAAATTCTTTCTCAACATCCTTTCTTAAATTCTAAATGAAGGTTAACTTGGAGACTCAGTTTTTGCCTTTTCTCATTGGCATTTGTGATGAAGTCACCGGTGATCTCTGACTGTGCTGGTGTTTCCAGACTCTGGGCATCTTATGCAAAGACCTGAAGAACCACACACAACATGATGAAGTAGCAACAGATTTTATACAGGAGCAAAGCAAAGGTACAGAATAATTACACTTCAAGAAAGCAGAGGGCTCTCAGTAAGATTTACTCAAGAGCCTCAGGTTATATCTGGGGCTTTCTTTATGGGAGGAGAGTTTGGATGCTAGAGGAGTGTGGGTGGCTTTCTGTTCTTGTGACAAGTTTGAGTTATGTTAAGCCTTTGCTCACTGTCCATACCTTTTCCCATGATGCATCTGATTTTTATCCTATCCATGGCTACTTGTGCATAGGTTGTAAATAATTTCCCCTAAAATTTCACTTAAAGGACAGTTTGCTTTACTGAGCACATATTCCAAACTAGTCCAGGATAGATCAACCCACTGTGTAGATGGAAGTTTCTTTCCCACCTGATCCTGCAGCAGTTCAGTCCCAGATAAACACACAGAGGCTTATATTAATTACAAACTGTTTGGCTGATGGTTCAGACTTCTTACTGGCTAGCTCTCTCTTAATTGCTAATCCATTTCTATTTATCTGTGTATCTCCATATGATCTTGGCTTACCAGCGATGCCTGAGTCTCTTGCTTTCTCTGCATCTCGCTGGCAACTCACCCTCTCCTTTCCTCTTCTCAGTGCTTTCCTAGTCTGGTAGCCCCCACCTATATTTCCTGCCTGGCTACATCCTGACTGTTCATTGGCCCAAACAGCTTTATTCATCAACCAATAAGAGAAACATATATATTCACAGCATACAGAAGGACATTGCCCATCACCACTGCCCCAAATTCCAGTTTTATCATAAAAGAAAAATTACTAATGTTTCTAGGAAGCTGTTGGGAGCCAATTGCTTTATTAGCAGGTGCGTGCAGCCTAATGGGAATGGGGCTCTGAGCTGCTAAGTGCTTTGTTGAGTAAGCTAAGCAGAATCCCAAGTTTGTAAGTTACACCTATAGTTGCCTGCCTCAGTGTTTAGAAACATGATCTCTGGTGTCGTGGTTATGCCAAGGCCTCTAAAGTTTTATCCAATTGTAATACTAGCTGGCCAACACCTTGCTAACTGAATCAAGTCAAGGTGGGTAAGAGTCCTTATGCATAGTTCCTGGAATATAGCTTCTTGAAACAGTTCTGCTTCATCTGAAGAACATCCTTAGCCTCATACACAATGTGCAGTGATAGGAAGACTCTAGACTGTCTTTTAGAGGCCCTGTTGTCTAAAATAACATCCAATGCACTAAGAATATTTTTAACTTGCTCACTCTTTTTCTTTTTAATTCCTCACTCTTGAAGGAGTCAGCATTGCTAAATTTTCTGCTGCCACACAACAGCACTCTCTTTCCCTGGGGCTTCCAACTAGAGAGTTCCTCACTTCTCTCTAAGTCCCTCACTGGAAGTGTTCTTAAAGGTTCTCAACTTCGTGCTAGCCTACTATGTGTTCAAGGCCTATTAGTTTACATTTTCAGGAGTGTGCATCTCAAAAACCCTTTTAACCTCTGGTGTTTGCCTTATCCCAAAGCCACTTCCCCATCTCAGGGACCCAGTGTCTGTGTTCGTTATCTTTTACTATGTATTAAATCATCCCTAAACTTAGCTGCTTAAAACGATGATAAACACCACATCATGCAGTTTCTGGGCCTCAGAAAATTCAGTAGAGGGTGTGTGTGTGTGTGTGTGTGTGTGTGTGTGTGTGGTGTGTGACTCTGGCTTTAGGGCTTTCAGGAAGGTATAGTGCGGATGTTACATAGGACAAGGTTAGAGCTTGTTTCAGCACATGTCAGGCCCTGAGTTTATACCCTGCATCAGAAAAACAAACAAACAAAACAAAAACCCAAAAATGAAACCCAGTGTAGGCATTATTAGGGCAGTGGTTGTGCGGAAGCTTAGCTGGGGCTGAAGTTCTTCTCTACAGACAGTTCCTTTCCAGCTGAAGACCCCGTCCCTCTTCCCTTCAGTCTCTGTACAAGGCTGCATGATGTCCCCTTGAAAACAGTAGCCAGCCTCCCTGAGAGTGACAGCTGGAAGTAAATGGGAAAAGTGAACTCTTTAGAAGCCAGAGACCATCATCTTTGCATTGTCTTTGGTTGTGAAGATCGGTTCTATTCACTGTGGCAGAGTGTTACAAGGATGTGAATACTAACAGCCTCTGACCCTTGGGAGCCATCTGGATAATGAGGACCCCTTCAGGCAGAGCCAACTGAGATGAAAGTCTAACAGAGTCCTGAGGGCTGGATGATGGTGGCTGAACTGTGAACTCCAGTTGTAAGGCTGGAGGGACTTGACATGGAGTGCATAGAGGAGCGCTTACCTCATGACTGTGCAGCCTACATAATCTTTGCAGGGGTTCTTTGAAATGGGTTGCACTCCTTGCACATGCTTAAGATGTTGTCTTAGTCAATGATCTATTGCTGTGAGGAGACACTATAGCCACAGCATCTATTATCAAGGAAAGCATTTAATTGGGGATGGCTTACAGTTTCAGAGGTTCTGTCCATTGTCAGCAAGTCGGGGAAGCATGGCAGAATGTCAGGAGACATGGTGCTGGAGAAGGAGCTCAGAGTTCTGCATTCAGATCTACAGGCAGCAGGAAGAAAGGCACTGGGTCTGCCTTGGGCTTTTGAAACCCCAGGGCCGACCCCAGTGACACACTTCCTCCAACAAGGCCATCCTTCCTAATTCTTTCAAATAGTGCCACTCCCTAAGCATTTACATATATCAACCGATGGTAGCCATTCTTATTCAAACCATTCCAGATGTGTAGTCTTCATAACTATGGCTTGAGATACTTTCCTGTTGACATTGATACTGGATTCTATCTTCCTCCCATAATTTTTGAGGCAGCTCTTACTCTGTAGACCAGGTTGTTCTAGTACTCACTATGTAGCCCCCAGTGGCCTCAACCCCACATTAGTCTTGCTGCGTTAGTCTGTGCCATTAAGTCTGACTGTAGTTTTCTTGATAGACTGTGGCTATTTACATACTATGTTGTTCCTTTCCATTTCTAACTGAGCCTCATTTTCAAGGAATTTCCGTTTCTTTTAACAATTCTTATTTATGTAGGGGTGTGTGTGTGTGTGTGTGTGTGTAACTAAAAGTATATATATGCGTGTACCCATGGAAGCCAAAAAGGACTGCTGAGTTGGAGTTAGAGAGGGTTGAGAGTCACTCAAGGTGGGTGCTAGAAATGGAACTCAGCTTTTCTATTAATAAGTAGTTTATTCTAAACTTAATTAGGTTACCCCAAATTCTATGTTCAATATGAAAGCAGTTTCATGAAATATTACAGCTTTGCAAAGCAAAGTCATAAGTCAAGGCAAGTTTAAAATACATAATTGGCCACACCAGAAAGGGGATCACAGCAAGATCGGAGACGCTTTTGTATAGGCATCAGGTGGCATTGTCTGGTGATCCTTAGATTTTTAGTTGGCAGAATCTAGTGGTCCAGCAAAAGTTTTTAATGGTTGAGCTCTGTCTCCAGACCCATCTGTTCTTTTAAAAAAGGATCTGTTTTCTCTTTGCTCCAATGCTTTACTTAGTGGGTAAAAATTTCTCTTGTATCTAGCTAATACTTTTTATTTTTTTACTAAAAATGCACTGCTCAAGTCATAAATGTCATCCTGAGTGTCATTCTCTAACCTTTTTATCATTAGTCTGTTTCTTGTAGTCATCTAAAGTTTATGTATTTATTATTTATTGGTTTCACAGAGCAGTTCACGCTCGTCTGAAGTCCTCATCCCTCCGGTATCGGCACCCCAAGTCCCTGGGATTACAGGTTCAGGCCACCACACCTAGTTTATCTGAGCTTTTGAAAGATGAGTCTTTCAGATTTGTGTTACAATGTTGCTTCCTTATAGATAACTTCAGATAGGTGTTCGATAATAAACAAATAAGAAACATGAAATATATTTGAATACTAGAGCTCAGCAAACAGACAACTCCATTCTACCTTCTGTTTCTCTCACAGAGTCAGCGAAGCACACTTCTCAAAACTTATTTTTAATAGCTCCAGAGCTGTACTGTTACCTTTCTTTTTGTTTCCTTTCTTTTTAAGGTTACCAGAGTAAGTTTCCGTTCTTTTCCACACTATAAGAAGATTATCTCAATTAGTGTGGACTCTCCTCCCTCAGGTCCCTTCCTCCACTTGCCTTGGGGGAATTTTCTCTGTGTTTTTCCAGCTCTCTTAGACTTAGTGATGTAGATGCTGTTGTGCTGGGGTTACATATTGGTGATGCTATGTACAGAGTAGAATTTGGATGATGACTATATAGTCCCAATTCACCCCCACACTTTTTGAGATGCTGTCAAAAATAGATTATATCCTTGTGACAAAAACAAGTAAAAAAGAAAGAAAGAAAAAGGAAATTTGCTAATAGCATTATGTGGAATTCATGGATAAAAAAGCAATCGTCTCTGTGTATGTCTCTGTGACTGCCTTTCTATCTGTCTCTGTCTCTGTCTCTCTCTGTCTCTCTCTCTCTCTAACACACACACACACACACACACACACTTCCCTCTCTCTTTCTCTCTCTCTCTCTGTAGATTTTACGCCTTCCCTTTCAGTTCTCACACATAACCACAGACAGTCACTGATTTAACTAAGATTTCTGTGACACAGATATTGAGCTGGAGTTAGGACCATGCAGATGTGTTGGCCTGTTTCTAGTCAGCTTTTCTAACTTAAGTTATCACATCTTCCTTTAACTGCATTTTGCCTGTGGGCTTTTTACCTTTCTTTATTCTGCATATCTGTCTTTCTTTCCTTTTTACTCTGTGGCTGGCTGTGTGGCTGGGTGGTTGGCTTCTAGTATCCTCCTTTTATTTTTTTTTTATTTTTTTTTTAAGATTTATTTATCATGTTACAGTGCATGCCAGAAGAGGGCACCAGATCCCATTACAGATGGTTGTGAGCCACTATGTGGTTGCTGGGAATTGAGCTCAGGTCCTCTGGAAGAACAGTTAGTGCTCTTAACCCCTGAGCCATCTCCCCAGCCCCCTCTCCTCCTTTTCTCATTCATCTTTCTTCACTAGATTTCTCCTTCTATCTTCCCACCAACCCAGCCTGCTTCTCTCTCCTGCCTAGCTATTGGCCATTCAGCTCTTTATTAGACCAGTCAGACATTTTAGGCAGGCAAAGTAACACAGCTTTACAGAGTTAAACAAATGTGACATGAAAAGGTGCAACACGTATTTGTGTCATTAAGCAAATATTCCACAGCATAAATAATGTAACACATCTTAAACTAATATTCCACAACACACAGGATATACATTCCCATTCTAAAACACAGGGAAGGGAGCATATCAAGGAAATACTGGACAAAAGCAAGACCAAAAACCAGATGAACAAATTCCAAACTCTGCATCTCCATGTCTAATGTCAAAACACTCTTTAGATCCCCAACTCCATGTGTTGACTGCAACACACTTCTTTCTCTCTGGCTGGTTCCGCTCCCCATTAGCAGCTCTCCTCTGCAGGTATCCCACAGCTCTGGCATCCCCAACATCCGGGTTCCCAGTCTTCAACTTCACAGCTTCATGCACTGATCTCTCTACTAGGCCTCTAATTAGGGACATCCCTGACACTTGCGTGTCCTCAGCTGCTTTATTCCATAATGATATTATTCTATCATTAACTCTAAACCCGGAATCACATGGCTGAAACGACCAAGTTCTGCTGCTTACTGGGGCTGGAACATAGCCTCTTGCTACAGGTCACAGGGTTAAACAGTGAGAATTCAGCTAACAAAATCACAAGGCTGACCCACTCCAGCATCACACATTCCGATGGAGGATACCCAGAGTGCAAGGCAATGGGAATATTTGCCTTTTGAAGAGTTGATGTCACTTCTGTAAACACCTGTGAAGGGATAGCACTCTTTTTTCCCTAGTGGGACTCCCCAAAGATCCCCAGCAGTATATCAATCAACTATTGGGCATAATTCCTTCATGAATCATTATATTGGATGACCTAACCCCCCACACCGTGGGGCCCTGGTGTGAAAGTATTCACATAAGCAAGAAATCTTTGTTTTCATAGTCCAGTCTATATAAACTTAGAAGCTAGCCCCCCACAATTATCTTTTATGTCAGGACACTTGGAAAGGAGAGGAGCCTTGCAAATAGGCCATATTCAGAGTCTCATAGGACAGGCACTGGGAAGAAGATACAGCATGTCTGCCTTCTTGATAAGCGTAACTGGGCCCCTGATTTCTCTAACAGCCTTCTTAGGAGAGTGCAACCTACTGGCCCCTACTCTACCCTTTTAACAAGCTATTAATATTCTGTACTTACCTTCACCTCAGTTTTATTGACACAAGATCTTAATATAGGAAATTACCTATTTGTGCCTTTACCCCTAGAGACACAGGAAACCGCTATGGATCACTTAACCAGACCTGCAGAAAGGAATTCCTTCTCACTTGGTGTCAGTGGGAAAAGTGCTCCATCAGCCTCCAGATTTTACACTACATAGGCGTAGTTTTTGATCTAACCACTGTAGATGTAATCTCTAGGACTGAGAGGTCCTCTTTAATCAGCTAACATTTGGTGAAAATGCTAATGCGGATCAAATGCCACCCATTTTCCTCTCGCAGCTACACTGGTTGCCATGGTTATCACAAGGTTGTATTCCCAGCCTGTGGAATTGGAAATGCTTAGAAAGTGCACAGTGCTGCCACATTTTCCTTCCCCCTTTTTACATTTATTAACTTTTAGCTTAACTAACCACACAAATGTAGTTAATACACAAACTCCCTTCCCTCTCTTAGAAATCCCATCCCCTTCCGCTATTGACCCCTTTCAGGTATGCCTGGGTGTTTCCCAGCCACACCTCCTCTCAGGCCCTGAGAGATGCTTGCCGGGTATCCTAGCTATTGCCAGAGATTTGCTAATTGTGTCTGTATGTGTATATAAACTGGAAACCTTGTGGGATGAGAGAGATTTTTCTGGAAGAATAAAGTAACTGATGTGGAAAAGTACATAGTGGAGAATTCTTTTCCACTTCACATCCTACCTTGTCAACTTATTGTAGAGTCTCCTTTGAACCGCGTGTGTGTGTGTGTGTGTGTGTGTGCGCGCGCGCGTGCGCGCGCACCCACGAAGGGAGGTGTTTAAGTCTAGCCCTTGAAAACCTTCAATAATCCCTCATTCAATTACATCTTCACCAGCTTTCTGTTTCTCACTGCCCAAGCTTGGCTATCCTGAAACTTGGTCTGTAGGCCAGGAAGGTCTCAGACTCAGAGATCTGACAGCTTCTGCCTTCCCAGTGCTAGAATTAAAGGTGTGCCCCGACACATCCAGCTCTAAGCTTTTCTTTAGTTTCTTTCCACAAGTAGGAAACTTACCTGGGTGGGATCATGAGGTCGCCACTCCCTTTTTTTCCATTTCTTAATCTGTTTACTTCCTTGAACACAGGATTTAGATTCATTTCACTTCCTCGTACTTTTTCTCCTCAAAATTTACTTTTTGTAATTTACCCTGCTCAACTTGCTCCTTTTCATTATAAATCTTCCTTAGAATTACCACTAATAAACATTCACATGACACAGTCTATACTAGGTTGTTTTCAGATTTCTTTTGTAAACTGAATTAATCTAAAACTCTTCACTTTAGCCTTAGGCAAACTCTTTGGACAAGGGCAAAAAGCATCCACTTTCTTCTCCAAAATATCACAAGAACATCTCTAGGAAACACAGTAAAGTTCTTTTCCTCTGATACCTCTTGAGTGAACCCCGCACAGTTCAAATAACTCTCAGCACCTGGGTTTTCCGTTGCCCATTAAGCAGTGCTTAAAGCATTCTACTGCTTACCAAAGTCCAAATTCCTAAAAACAAACACGTGGGCACGTGATCAGGCCTACCACAGAAAAAACCAATCCCCGGTACCAACTTCTGGTTCAGTTCGAGTTTTTATTGCTATGAAAAGACACCATGACCATAGCAACCCTTGTAAGGAAAACATTTGACTGGGGCAGGAGAGGGGTGCTCACTTACAGTTTCAGAGCTTGTCTGTTACCATCATGGCGCAGAGCATGGTGGTGTGTAGGCAGACATGGTGCTGGAGGAATAGCAGAGAGTTGTACATCTTGCAGGCAACAGGAAGTCGACTGACTGGGAATTATCCCAAGCATAGGAAACCTCAAAGCCCGCCCCAACAGTGACGTACTTCCTCCATCAAGGCCACACTTCCTAAGAGTGCCACTTCCTTTAGGAGCCATTTTCTTTTAAACCACCACAGGCTCAGGGAGACTGGCCACACAGGCTGCTTCAATGAGTCCCTGGCTTGCTTCCTGGTGGAATTGGCAGGAGACAGAAAATGCAGTTGGAGACTATAGTCTCTTGCCAGGGTGTGAGGACTCTCCACTGGGGGTCACAGCTCCTACTGCATTCTCCAGGCCTAAGAGCTAATGGCTCTCTGTTCTCATGATCCCTGAAAGAACTGCATTATTCCTATGTTCCCAAGTTGTTCCTGCTACTATATGTAGCTTATTTTTGGAACTTTCCTAATCTCTCAGTTTGAAGATGCCATATTTCCTTCTGGGAATCCAGCTGACACACTCTGGGGGTCTCCCAGAATGCAGCTAGTGCCAAGATGGCCCTACATCTTATCTCAGCTGCATATACCTGGAACAGCAACACAGAACAAATGCCTTTCTGGATAATATCGAGATGTTTTTGCAAGCTCGGAGGGCGGCGAGGCCAGCTCTGTCTATTCACTACTCCTCATGATTTCGTGTCTGCCTAAGATCGGAAAGAATGATGTTGCTTTGCCTATCACTAGAGCAGGAAAAATATGCAAATTCAAAATATGAAGTGTGGTTTTTACTGACTGCGTGTGCAAGTCAAACCATCACATGTCAGGGACTGCCTGTGTTTGCTTCTCTAGGCTAACTGAAATCTACTCAGAATAGCTTTAGATATAAGCTGTATCCAAATGATGTGTGTTATTTTCCAAGATGCACTGGCAAGCCAGCAACAGCTTGGGAATTGAATCTTAGCAATTTTTCTGCTTATAGGGAGTTCCCAGTTCTAAGACAATTCTTCTCCATGAGTCTGTATCATCTTCCCAAATCCTCTAAAGGAGAAAGAGCCAGGCAGACAGAAAGAGGCCTACTCTGCCTTGACCTTCACATGGCATGCTGTGAGGTATTAAGATATATGTCTAAAATGAAATGCAAAAAGGACATGTCTTGGGATTCCAGTTCTAAATCACCTAGGCAAGTTGGTTAAAAGAGGAACAATTTATTTGGGAGCATAGCTTCAGAGGGCTTAGCCATTTGGATCCCTGTTTCTGAGCTCCTTACGATGCAGAATTTTCCCATAGCAGGAACTTGTGGAGGAGGGAGCTGTTCTTCACTTGCTGGACAGGAAACAGAAGGACAGCAAAGGACCAAGGAGATTACCCTCTGTATCTGTTCCTAATGGTCTACTTCTTCCAGCTGTGTGCCATCTTCTGAAGTTCTCAGAAACTCTTAAAATAGCACCACTCGCTGGTGACCAAGACCCCAGCTTCTGAGCCTTGCTGGGACATGCCCAAATCTTAATAAGGAGGCAACAAGGAAAGTCTTCCTGGTATGGAAAAGAGAAATGATGGGAAAGCTCCCCTCCAGCATCCTGAGGACAAATTTCTTCCCTACCTAATTAGCTTCTTGTATCTTACCCCAGAATCCTGCAGACTAGTGCCAGAAATCAGTGCTGGAGAAGGTCTTGAGATGTTCAAAGGAGTGTCTGGGAAACAGGCCACAAAGAAGAAACCTACTGGGCAGGCTGCAGGAATCGACAACAGAGAGATGGTCTTCCTTCTTCCTCTTTTTTGTCCCACTAGATTTTTAAAAAGAAGCAATTTTATTTTATATATCAATCCCAATTCCCTCTCCCTCCCATCTTCCCATGTCCCCTACCAACCCCCCATTACATCCTCCCTTCTGCTCCCCAGGGAGGTTGAGGCCTTCCATGGGGGATCATCAAAGTTTGTCACATCATTTGGGGTATGGCCTAGGCCCTACCCCATGTGTCTAGGCTGAGAGAGTATCCCTCTATGGGGAATAGGCTCCCAAAATTCATCCATACACTACCAGAGGCCCCATAGACTTCCCAGGCCTTCTAACTGTCACCCACGTTCAGGGGGCCTGGTTCACTCCTATGCTGGTTCCCCAGCTGTCAGCCTGGGGACCATGAGCTCCCCCTTGTTCAGGTCAACTGTTTCAGTGCATTTCCTCAGACTGGTCTTGACCCCTTTGCTCATCACTCCTCCCTCTCTATAACTGGATTCCAGGAGTTCGGCTCAGTGCTCTTATTATAGGGGAAGGGCATTTAAGGTAGTCTCTCCATTATTGCTTAGGCTCTTAGTTGGGGTCATCCTTGTAGATCTCTGGACATTTCCCTAGTGTTAGATTTCTCTTTAAACCTATAATGGCTCCCTCTATTAAGGTATCTCTTTCTTGCTTGTCCCGTGTATTAGAAATCTATTCCATCCTGCCATGAGTTCAGAGAACCTGGACTCCTGTTGTCTTTAAGATACTAGCTTAATGGCTGCTGGATGTCCTAGCCTAGGTAGTTCCTATCTAAATAATAATAGACCTAGGCCCAGGCAAGTTTACACTCATCCTGAAGTCTAGGTGATATATGCACCTGATGGCCAAGTAGTCATGCAGCAGCTACAGAGTGTCTTTAGGATTAAGGGGTGTAGTTACTACTTGTCCTTTATACATGATAATAGAAGTCTCCTGCCATTGTCTCCACCTTTGGTTGGTTACTTAAGATTGATGCATGAATAAACTGGGCACATTCAGTATGAACTGAAACTGCCCTCCTGATATTATCCTATGTCTCCATCTTTCCTTTAATGTCTATGGTTAGCCTTCCTTCATCCACACCCCCTCACTCAGAAATGGACCCAGAATGTTTGGCTGGTCCTGATTGAAGCCCCAAAGACACCAGTCAGTGACATATGGCCCCACAACTTGGGTTATTGGTGTTTCGATGACTAGCTTCTTGAGTTTTTTGTATATTTTGGAAATCAGTCCTCTGTCAGATGTGAGGTTGGTGAAGATCTCCCATTCTGTGAGCTGCCATTTTGTCTTGTTGACTGTGTCCTTTGCTCAAAGGAGCCTTATAAACCCAATCCAGCCCTTTGCAGTATTTTATTTGCCAACTGAGATCCCAGGCTGCTGCTGTCTCTGTCCCCTCGGGTCACTGGCTCTTCTCTCTCCCTCACTGTCTCCAACTCCAAACTTTCTTTAACCTGCCAGTTCTTATCTGACCTCTGAGCTGAACTCTGTTGTGGAAGACAGAACTCATAAATTCCAGAGAACAACTTGTGAGCAAGCTGTAATGAGTATTTCTTTGGAATTTCCCTCAGGGTTGAAAAAGCAGGCTTGAGCTCCTCAAGACCAGTGGCCGGGACACTTAAGCATCATGCTACCAACACCAAAGGGCTTCTGAACATGTGTGGAAGGAATTTGGTGAACCATTTGATCCTGCTGATAAAGACCGTTCTGCTGAAATAGTGACTCCTTAGTAACCTCCTCCCTCCGGCCTGGCCTGGCCTAACCCAGCTCTAGATATTATGGTTTATAAAGTTATCCAGTAACATCTATCAGTTTCTAAGGCCTCGATTAATGTTTTAAAAAACATGACAGTGCAGCCACTGAGTTGAAAAATGGATATGTATGAAATAATCTTTTCTCCAAAGGACCTTGATCTTTTTCAATAATATTAGATTCTGAATACCAAAATGTCCAGCTCTTCTTGCACATTTACTGTGCATAGAGTTCTAGTTTATGCATTTGACTATCTTTTAACATCATTGAAATTCTAAAAGGTGCATTTTCCTATTTTACAAGCAAGAAAGAAGGCAGGCCTCAAAGGGATTCTTACTTGACATTGACTCAGGTAAAGGACAGAATAAAAATGATCCCAGAAGTCTCTATGTTCCTTAAGTGTTTTCCTTAGTCACACAGTTTCGATGACTTTTTGGGTACATTTATGTGGAACACACATATATTAAGCCTAGTATATTTCAATCAGAAAGCAAGAGTTCAAAATGTATCCTTGAACTTTTCCCATTCCATATTTTCTCCCACTACCATATAATATAAGTCATAAAAAAGTCAGTACATGCAAACACTTCTTTGGAAAATGTAGTCAGAAGGCAAAAGGAAGAATTCCTTGTTTGGAGTTCCAGTTATTTCTCAAGAATCAATCTTCTGTTCACAAGATTCCAGTCTCTGCCACCAGAGGGCAGTCACGACATTAAAAAAAAAAGAACCCCTTCCTCAGAGTTAGACCACCAGATCAGCTAAATCTGGATTTGGTTTCATAGTTCAGTTCGTGCCCTGAAAAGATCTGTTTCTTTCCAGTCTGAAATTAACATGTCATGCCACATTTTAAAAAATGCATAGACGTTCAAAGGAGCATATGACATGTTAGAAGCTGTTTCTTCATAGAGTGATGTTAAAATGGACTCGAGACATATGCTCCATGACATGTGCTTCATACTGGTCTCATTGGATGAGTGTAGACATGCTGCACTGAATATTCAGTGACACAGTCAAAAGCACTCTTCTGTGTCCAGAAATTCGGAATTTACTCAGTTACATGCCATCTGGGTTTCACTAAACTATTCATCCCAGAAACTTAGTTTTACGCCCCGCCAGAATCATGAATAAGAGCTCTTTGCTCAGATCTGTAGAGTACCTTCCTAACTCCCATAAGGCTTAGTTGACACTGGGTTTTATCGTGGAATAGATTCTTACTGAAGGGAAGCTTGAGGATGAATGCTGAAACTATTGGGTTTAAAAGAAATATCTGAAATTGAGTATTGCCCATGTAGGGATCAGATAGACACACCATCTACAAAGGTGCAACAGGACCTCTTGCTATTTGGTTCTTTCAAACAGACCAATAGCCTGCTTTCTTAAAGATGTCTTATTAAAGCCAAACAAAGCAGATGCTAGCCCCTGGCTGGTTCTACCTGTCTCTCCTCACCCGAGCTGTCTGAGTCTGTAACCTGAAGGCAATGAGTAGATCCTGACAGACTATGGTTTAATATATATATCTGCTTCACCACTGAGCCTGGTTCCTGTCTTCTCACCCCTAAGCAGTTGACTGAGCCATGCTTCTCTCCACTGGACTCTCTTCCTCCTGCGCCAGCTCAAAGTCACGCACAGCCACAGACAGAAGATCAGATCAAGCATTAAATCATACACAGGAGAAACTTACATTTTTGTCTCTACCTTGGTCGATACTGTAGACATTTAAGTAGGTGTTGCTGTTGTTGTTTTTAACTATCACTTGTGACCAATCTGGGGTGGTGAAATCAATTTGGGGGCATTAAAAGTGCCATCATCAGATAGATGGTTTCTGTGCAGTAAGGCTGAATGATCTATACCAGATGCATGCATGTCCTCAGTGGGCCATGGTGGCAAGCATATTTCTTATAGATGTGACCAGAAAGGTAAACAAAGCACAGATTTAACTCCTTTATTCTAGGCCAGAGTCTAAATTTCATTTGAAAAAAAAATAATTCAACTGGTCTTTTGATTGTCAAAATGTGAAGATTTCTTTTTCTTTAGAACAAGAATTTTAGTCAACTCCTTAAACAACTAACCAAGCATTAGGCTTCCCGCTCTGACCCTGCTAGCCTCTCTATCCTAAATTCACTCCTTCTCATTTTAAAGTCTGCATATGTTTGTGCAGATGCCCTTGTCTTCTGTAAACATGATCCTCTCTCTTGACCCAAATATGCCATTGCATGGCTCTTTCTAGAGAACTTTCTCAGACTCCAAGTCTAACTGCTATTGGCATCTCCCATGGAAGATTTGTAAGCAATTAGCAAAGGAGACTACACGGTGTTTCTCCTCTTTTAATTAATGGGCCAGTGTCCCACCTCTAGGGATATCTCTGGTTATTTCCCACCCTAGTTCCCTTCCATCTCCCCCAGGAAAATGTAATGCCACAGATACATATATGTCTCTTTGTGTCCCATGACTCTATAGAACCACCAACCATTGTATAATTATACAGTATCTGAGATTTTATCTACTCTCTTTCCATCTATATCCCTGTCCTCCCCTTCTCTCTCTTTCCATAAAATCGATAGTTTTTGCCTACTCCCTGAGAGTAATTTGACTTCTGTTGAGGGGAAACAAAGTTCTATAAGGTAGGTAAGAACAAACAAGTCAACAGCTAGTTGTCCTTTGTTCCTACTGCCAGATGTCAATTGTTGGAGAGCTTGAGGAAAATAACAATGACACAGACAACAAACTTCGACTGCCTTTGACTTGGCCAAGTGTGGAGTGATTGGTAGTCAATCACAGGGCTACAAAACCAGGAGCCTTGAGTATAACCTGCAATCGAGAGTGGGGCTGTGAGACAGGGATGGACTTCAGCGCAGCACAGAACATTCGACCAGCACCCAGGCTTTCTTTTTATTTAACCTGAAGATCTTTCACAGCAGCTGCCTCGTTCTTTAGTTGAGAAATGACGTGGTTTATCTTTCCCATTCAATAGCTAGGTGCTGACTAGATTAATCACTGGTTTTCTGAAGTTATATATGCAATAGTTGAAAGTGTTGACATTCTTCTCGCTGCTATGACTATTTTTAACACTAAGATTCAGTCCTGAGCTCCTCTGTCCACCTCTGAGAAGTTTCACACTCTTCCAGTTATCTTGTCTCATTCTTGCTGAGTCAAATGTACAAAAACCGAATGACATGGCTCAGATGTCCCTTAAGCACGAAAGACTAAAAGGAGAGATACATGAAAAGGGTGTAGAGTTCACTGGCTGTTTGAAATTGATGGTGTGTGTGTGTGTGTGTGTGTGTGTGTGTGTGTTTCTCATAAAACACAACTAGAATCTTCTCCCTCTTCTTGAGATTTGCAGGCAAAGGAGAGGCCCAACCAGCTGGTGGGGAGATGACCGCACACTTCTTGGTTCATGGGGAGGTGGCACCTAGAAATCTTCAAGCGCTGCTTCTGGTTCCCACTTTGTGTCTTAGGGTAAGCAAGGCAGACAGGGCTGCCAAGGCTAACGGGGCGTGTAAGAGCAATCCGTGCCTGGCTGGCTTGTGTAGGCTGTGAGCTAAATGCAACTCAGAGAGGCGGCTATAAATAGCCATTCATTGTCAGTGCGTGTGAAAAGACGAGCGTGAGTGTGCTGGTCTGATTCAGGCCCAATTAAACGGCTGTCTGGACAGAGCTATAAACGAAGCTGCTGGGACTGGGAATCGGGCACCACCAGCAGCTGGACACTCACGAAAAGGACGCTGTTCAACGCCAGAGTTGCCTCTGCTATGGCAAAAATCATCTTGAGGCACCTCATAGAGACCCCAGTGCGTTATCAGGAGGAGTTTGAAGCTCGTGGTTTGGAAGACTGCAGACTGGATCATGCTCTATATGCACTGCCCGGACCGACCATCGAGGACCTGAGGAAAGCCAGAGGCACCCCGCCAGCTCTTGCAGAGGACTCAGCCTCCACCTCAACGCCACCTGAAGAAAGCAAATGCCGCTTCCAGATCCTCCTGGATGTGGTCCAGTTCCTGCCCGAGGATATCATCATCCAGACCTTCGAGGGCTGGCTGCTGATCAAAGCGCAGCATGGAACCAGAATGGACGAGCATGGGTTTATATCCCGGAGTTTCACCAGACAGTACAAACTGCCAGATGGCGTCGAAACCAAAGATTTGTCTGCCATCCTCTGTCACGATGGAATCTTGGTGGTGGAGGTAAAGGATCCGCTAGTGACCAAGTAAAACCTTATCGGTTCTTGTTCACACCACAGGAGGAAGATGAAAGCCAGCGACCCCCGGGAATGTTTAACTTTTGAGATGGCTTACTGTAACTTTTATGAGGATTAAAAACGTATCCACAGTTCCTGGTATGTGGAGGTTGTCTTTCTTATTGGTAGTCAGGAAGGAAAGCTTTCGAATGTGTGTGTGTGTTTTTTTTTTTGTTTGTTTGTTTTTAGTTCTGAATGACGCTACCTTTACAACGAAATCACCAGAGAACTAGCAGACTATAATTTGGTACTAGGGAGGACCCAACATTGTTCTTGGGGAGTCTAACATTCCAGGGAGGCAGCCTGTATGATCCATGGCAAAGCAGCCATGTTCAGCAAAGAGATTCTATTCTTACTCATTTCATGAAAAGTTTCTGTATTGCTGAAAAGAGGTGGGGGCCCCTTCAGAGAGGAGCTTTTATCTCTGGCTATTTTAATTAAAGAGGACCCTTGTAACTATAGAGTCAGACTGTTAGAATGTGGTGCCCTCCCCCAAACATCAGGGGGAATTTTCAGGTATCTTAGTTTTTAAAAGTTCCAATCTAGACCTCACCAGTTTTTCAAAGCTAAACTGAATCCTTCCAGGAGTTTTCCTGGCTGGCAGAAAGTGTAAATTGCATGTGTGTGTGTGTGTGTGTGTGTGTGTGTTTTGTTTTTCTGTTTTTTGTTTTGTTAACCTACAGTGTATATTGTCTCATAAGTTAGCTGTAGGAAACTGAAACATTGAACTGCTGAATTCATTAAGTCTTAATTCTCGCTATTTTGAAGCAGAGATAGCAAGTGTCACCCATCTGCTGTCTGCTGCTCCAAAGTTTTAAATAGCCTTGCAGCCAGTGAGGACATCGGAGCTCACGCAGCCAGCTGAGTTCACACAGCGCATGCTTGTCACGACTAGATGAGTGCCTCCTCTGTTCTCCCACACGGCTGCCTTGGCTCAAGACTGATCTGGTAGCGGTTAAGAATTCCAACTTTGGGAAGCTGGCCTTCCACAGCTGCTCATAGGCATTTCAAATATTTGCTATCTCATCCTGTCCACTCTAAACACTTCTGTGGAGGAAGCGGCAGCTTCACGAGGCACTGAGAGTGGGCTGACGAGGAGCCCCAGGCTAGCGCTAAGAATAGAAGAACTCAGTGTGGACGACCCCCGTGTAGGTAACTCCAACATGGCTGCTGTGCTCCTCCATCTTACCTCCTCTGGAGTCAAGTTAAAACAGGGAAGACAGGAAGTGAGTAAAAAATCAGAACTCAAACTCTGAGAATGACATTTGCTACTGTTTTTTTATAACCCTGAAGGGATTTGGGAGTTGACTGTTTACATGACGTTCATGTCCATGGCTGACATTTGGGATGTGAAGTCTAGGAGGAGACGTTATTGCTTGAGAAATTGAATCTCACAGATCAGCATTGTGGCACAACAACGCTATCAGGTGTGAGTGGGTTTCCAGATCTTCGGAAAGGATAGGAAGTGGGGCACATCTGATCCCCACCAAACATTGCTGCCATCAGAGGAGTCACACAACCAACAGCCCGAGGCCTTTCATCTGGCCTTGGTTTGCCTCTAAATGACACCTTCCTTCTCCCCAGGAGGATTTTTTTTCCCTTCAAAAATGAAAATTCAACAAATTGTCCTTTTAGCACTTTTTCTTCCTAACAAAAAATCAAAGGCATACATGGCCATTTTAGGTTTCCAAACACTGAAAAATAAAATGGTTTGTTGTCAGCCACCATGAGACAGTTACTTTAAACATCTAGTTCATGTTCCCTTATCATTTTTGGCAAAATTAGAATTATCCTCACGTGAAATCTGACACCTGATTGCATTGATCGCTGTCCCCACTGCCATCAACCCAAACCTACTCTCTGTATTTCCTAGCCCCTCTTTGATGAAGGCTACACTATTCTGGTTTCCGATTGGTTTCACCCAATGAGAGGCACCCACCAAGGAACAGAGGGAATGTAGCTGGTTCCAGGAGAACAAGTTCAGGGCTTGCTTTTGCTAATCACTTCCACAGGGTAGCAGACAGACTTCTTCAGGACCAGTGTCTCCAAGCAGAACAGACTCCCCAGGGCTATTCCCAGTCTTATGGGGCTCTGGGGTTATGACACTGCTTCAGCAGAAGGTGTGGTCTTCTCTAGAACCTTCTTGTCTAGGGGACTACTCCATCCTTTGTTAATTCCACTCTTTCACAGACAGTGTGCTCCTTAAATTGTCTTGAGAAAAAAATTCTGTCTCTGGTGGGAACCTGGTTTGCATGACTCTTCATATGATAAGCCAAAGGAAGAGGAGAAGTAGAAGGTTATGTTTGCACCCAGGAAGCTGCTCGAGAATGTACCTTTAGAAAACAGTAGGAATTCAAATAGAATTCCACGGATGCCCTTTGAGACCCAATGCTGCTTGACTCACTGCTATTCCAATCAGACTTATCAGTAGACAAAAACAACAACAAACAAACAAACAAACAAACAAACAAACCCTGCAGTCTACTATCTTGCTTCAGAAGGATATTTTCAGCAAATGGTGCCAAAACACTTCATGGCCTTGACCTTTCTTGTGGAAATTTTAGACATGAGACAGGAAAGTGGCCTTGATCAGGGGACAGGGGGTGGGAAGCCTCATATGTGGAAGACCTGTGTGTTTAAATACGTAACTAGGATCTGTATGGACAATCTCAAAAGTAAACAGCCATAGAGAATAAATTATGTTTAGAAATTCAGTGGAGCAGGATTCCTATTTGATCTGAAATGTTCTTATTAATGTTCTTATCAATGATATGAAAACTGCTGTTGGTAGAACTTAGCATGTCAAAACAAATGAGGTACAATCTTGGATTTAAAAAAGTCTTTAACCTTAACAAAAATCTAATTTTCACTAATAGCCATTGTTCTCTTTAGCAGCTTCTAAGTACTGGGTGGAAAGAAGATTAAAATATTCGTTTGTGGTATTAATTTATAAGTTATACCCTTTCTTTCCTTTTCCTGTCTCAGTCTGAGTCTGCACATACAGGAATGCAGTAGCAGGTTGGATTCTCACATACTACGTTTGGACAGAAAAGTTTGTCTTAGCTGACTAGACAGCTAGGTGTTCCCACAAAATAGCAGAGGCAGTGTTTTAAATCTGAAAAAATTAGATGGCTCCATGTGTCTGGTGGTTATATTTCCTGTGTGTTCAACGTACTGTGTGCACACAAACACCATCTCGATAATGGGTGCTTCTCAGCCTGAAGGACAAAGACGAGGTATCCAGTATGGCGAGAGACAGTAGTCCCCATGACACCATTCTTTGTGATCTGTCAGTCAGATGTTCTATGTTTTTCATGTTTTCTTTTTCTTGGTGGTTAGTAAAAACATAGATTGGCATATTAAAGTCACTATGAAAAGGCAATTTTCCAGCTTTAAAAAAATTTGGGATCCAACTTTTTTCATGTATTTCCAGATTATGTTGTTGTGTTCATAAATTTGTGTAACTTGTGATAAAAGTATATAATTGCAAGTTAAAAATTAATAATTTCTCTGTATTGGACTATTTCTTAAATTGTTATGGAAGCCTGCTTCCTTTTAGAAGCTTTTAGCTTTAATCTATTTTAAGTGAAATACCACTTTCTAGCATATTATTGCCTCTGTATATTTTTGCCATACATTCAGTGTGATTGTGTGGTTTTTTAGTAGCTTCCACATGCTAAGGAGGCATTGCACTAGACCCCACATGACCCCAGCCTGTGTGTGTGTGTGTGTGTTTGTTTGTTTGTTTGAGTGTCTCAGAAGCAGCACCATATGACTGACTTAAAAACATAACCTAGTAATCTGTTCTATGGTGGATGAATTTAAACTATTTACTTATGAGAATTAAATATTTAGATTTCTCCCTTTGTGTCTATGTTTATGATGCTTTACTTATTTTTCAGTTTCTGTTTAAGCCCTAGTTTTGTTTTCTACTGATCTTCAAGATATTAAAATGAATATTTCCTGATAATTTATAGGTTAATATAATTTTTAAGGCAAATACCAAAGGCATCTAATATTTCCTTACCCTGAGTATGACTATAACTTTTGTGTTCTTCCTGCTTACTGTACTTATTTTATAAATATATTCGTAATTATATAGTGTTTTCTAAATTCTCAACAACTCTGGGCATAGTAAAACTTAAAATTTTGCCTGTCCAGTTATCAGCCCATTTCTGATGCCATCACAGAATAACTGAGGCTGGGCAATTTATGAAGAACAGAAATTGAGCTCTCACAGTTTTGGATGTTGGGTAGTACAAGGCCAAGGCATGGCATCTGGCGTGGGTCTTAGTGTGTCCTCATACGGTGGAAGGCAGGGGGGAAGATACTGCAAGCCGCTGCCCGGCCCTTGTATGAGGAAGCAGCCTCATGGTCTGGTCTCTTCTTAAACACCCGCCCCTTAATTGCATCACAGTGACAGCACCTGGATTCTGGACTTGACACCTTCAAACTGTGGGAAGCAGTGTACAGAAAGAAGCCAAGTCTCATTCCTGTTGTGTTAAAGCTCATGACGTTTCTTTCATGTGCTTTCCCATGCCTGTGAGTTAATAATTAGGGGTTCTTTTCTCTACCCACCTATCCTTAATTGTGTCACTTGTTTCAAAGTGTCTTCTTTTTAAACGAACTTATCCCCTTACATAATTCCTTGAGCATCCTACACAGGACCGTTTTCAAAGTTTGTATCAGATCCTTCCACACGTAAATTCCAACTGAAGAATATCAAGTTCCAAGCATGGATGTTTCTGATTTTCCCAGCATTAAGTTTCTTTGAGTGCTTAGGAAACTTGTGGTTTAGGTTTATTTTGTCTTCTCTTCAACTACAAAGTAGCTTTCCCTCACTGAGTTTGTGCTGCTGCTTTTGCCCTGGTTTTTCATGGAGGGATTTTAGAAACCTTGCCTTTGCCAACATCAAACATGCTTGTCATCAAACAAGCATGGGGCACGGTGACTTTTTCTTTCTTCTTAGAGAACCTAGAGGGACGTCTCATTCCCTGAGCAGAAAGGGCTCCATGTACCACTGCTTCCTGTGTCACACAGTAAGCAGGACTTCTGTCCCAGGAATTCTGTATTTCTTTATTATGCGAAATCCAAA